CTTTTATGCATCGGATGAAGTGAGCTGTAGCTCATGAAAGCTTACGCTCAAATAAATTGGTTAGTCTCTAAGGTGCCACAAGTCCTCCTTTTCTTTTTGCGAATACAGACTAACACGGCTGCTACTCTGAAACCTGTCTAATAGACAAGATGATCATTTTGTAAAATCATCTGTATATGTATAGTGGACCAAATCCATCTTCAGCGTAAGTCAATTGCCTTCAGTAGAGCTATACCAGGCTTGGATTTGGCATAATATCTGCAGTCCTTATTTTTCAATCTAACATGAATCATGTTTCCAGTAATGGGGAGAGATCTGGTTTTCATTTTAACTACTACAAATGACTGCACATAAATTAGAAATATTAGTTAGTTGCGGTTATGATTTTATGATGGAATGAGGCTAGGGTAGTGGCCACATTTATTGCATTACATGTAACCACATGGGGACTCTGTGGATTGTTTGAGAAGAAAAACTGCACTATCAAAACTGAATTAAAAGACCAATAAAACAGAAATATAAACCAGTGACCGCAAGTAACTTCCCATTTAAAGGTGAAATGTACCATTGAGTATGTCCTGTTATGATGTTCATTGGTCGGTGAATCTTGATTAATAGGACAAGAAATGGACACGACACATTTGAAGAAAAGGCAGTTCCGGTTAATAGACACAATGATGATAATTTTTTCCAGATGCCCAGGGAGGGGAGCAAGGTTATGATCTTGTTTTGGGCGTGTGCGGGGAGTGACTTTGGGTGAGCAGGAGAGTGTGGCTGATGGTGTTACACAACTGCGGGTATGGAGGCAGTCTGTTCTGTGACATGATTTTTGTCACAGTGGATGTTGTGATATGGTGCATTTGAATTATTGTTAGGGTATCCAGGCTTTAGGATGGGTGCTTATTTGCTGATTTATCCATTGAAATAAATAACTAAAATAAAATTTGGAATTAAAAGAAACAAATGAGGGTAAGCAACCCTGAAGCCTAAAACAAACAGGAGATGTCCCCATACCTACCAGCTGGCTGACACTCAGTCTCACCTCTGGAATGCACCTGATTGGAAGAGCTTCTAAAAAGGTCCCCCAGTAAGAGAGTCAGGCTCTTTAAAGATACACCACCCATATAAGCACACAGACTCCTCTCACTGTAAGCTAACCCATAACAAGGGCCTGAACCTGCAGGTTAAACTCCCACTGATTGCAGGCAGAGTTTTGCTTGAGCAGGGACCGGGCCCCTAAGCTGTGTGCTGCCCAGTGGCTCCAGCTGTTAGTACAGTAGAGTGCGTCGAGCAAACAGACATGCTTGGAAACACGCCTACTATATTAATTTCAGCAATTTGTTCTAATGCCGTCGGAGGTGGAGTTTTGGCTGGGTAACAATAGGCAGGGCCTTCAGCTCATCTCACATTTCCATAGCATCCGCGTCTGAGGAGCTGCCACCTGTCAAATCAATTTGAAGTTCAAACCTCTGTTTCATAATAGCAGATGTGTACACATCATTCATCTACTTGATGTCATATAGGAATTAAAAGTGACTACACTGTGTTTGTACTCGCTGAAATCTTTCTTTCATTGATTAAAGAAACACAGTGAAAGAATTCAACCCTGAAGTGAGCTGCTGCATGCACCAGTTTTATCCTTAGCTTCATCCATGAACTACTACTTCCTTTTGTGTGGCTGAAGAGCTGTAATAGACAGAAAGATTGATTGGGTATCCAGTTCCTCCCAACCAAGCCAATGTGATAAGAAAGGCTTTATGCTTTCAATAATCTTGAGGGCAGTTGATAAATCAGCATGTGAGGTTTTAAGCTTTTTACTGACAATTGTCAACGGATAAAGAATTTCATGCTATGACTGCAGGGAGATTTAAAGCTATGAAGAAGGAATGCTTCCATTTTGCTTCATATATGGCAGAGGGGATCACTGTGACCATCTAAGAACATTGATAACACAGCATCAGATACTTCAATAAATGAATCATGCCTCACTGTTGCTACTTCTCCCCCCCCCCCCCAGCAAATTAGATATAATTGACAATGAAGCCATTAATCTTCATGAGGTCCGAGAGGGATCCTGTAAAGACTGGAAACACATATGTGCTGAATTATTCCAAAGAAGAAAAAGCTTGGAATCAAACCAAGCTGAGGGCGTGGCATCCATAACACAATGATTGAAATCAAGAAGTTACTATTGTGCTCCTAAGTATTTGAATTTCACGTATGAAACCGTATAATGCATCTGATCTTTTAGAATCTTCATTAGGGAAAGCTAAATTGCCAGGGGCTAGATGGTATCAATTAGCCACAGTCTGAGTAGAGCTGCATGGCTGCAGAGGGATCTCGCAGACACTGGGCCTAATTCACTGCACCTTGTGTAGGCATTTATACCAGTGCAGTTTGGGTGTAAAACAACCAGAGCAGGGTGATAGCCTTTTATACACACTTTTCATTCACTTGGAACTGGTGTAAATGTATAGACAAGATGCAGGGCAATAGTGAAGCAGGCCTGTTGTACGTTTAGGGGCATAATCCCTTTCTATCGTGCCTGCAGTGGGAGTGCACATACTGCCCCAGCCCTTTCTGGGTGGAGAGGGGGGAACTGCAATTGTCCATACCTTTGGATGGGATTTCCAAGGCAATAGAAGACTCCCCTTCCCCTTCCCTATCTACGAGCCCTAGTACCAGGGCAATCTGGCCATAACGTTATTCAAGACTGCCTCTGTCAGTTCACCCTTATTAAAACAACCACCACCACTAGCAAAAACTGACCCTACTATGGCATTGTCTAGTAATGGTCCCAAACTCTATATCTTACAATAACACTACAGTAGTATTTGGTGCAATTGACTTTTTTAATAAAGTCGAACACCGTGAAATATTTTGGTGCAACACATCTATGGAAATGTCATGGATCTACACTTTGCTAAACATCAGATTTTAAAAAATCCCATATGTTGGGAAAGTTCAGAGCCAGTTCTGAACTATGCATTTCTGTTCTGTCTCTATTTGAGACTTCATGGTTATTAAGTGCAACAAAACAAACAAACAGACCGAACCTCCCTACCTTTAATTTAATCTTTTCAATATGATTTATGTTAGATGGGCAGTCCAGAATATCCGAGAAGCAGGTGGCTGCTTTCCACAAACATAACATTTGCCTTCTGATTTTTTCAGCTGATATCTGCACCATTTCTTTTATAAATCTGTACATTTTTCTGCAGGTAGCGATCCTGCACTTTTATTTATGTGACTTGTCACTGATGGTCTGACACAATGACCATACCTATAACTGAAGTATCAAGAAATGCCCAATATTGTTTGGCCATAACCTGAACAATTGCTATCAGCTATTCTTCTCATAGGTACCACAGACCAAAGGAAAGATCCCCTGTGCTCTGGAAATTACAAGTGAGCAATGACTCTGGTGAGGGAGATAGGCAAAGTCCTCAGACTGTTGCTAAATTGCAAGAGGCTAAGATCAGCAGGGACCAGCAGAAAGGTCCCTGAGAGGGTCTCATTAGGAGAGATGGGCCACCTGGTCACTTCTGAAAGTACTGCTCACTCTCCGTTGAAATAAATAGTTAATAACATGGGTAAATTTGGCAACTTACTTATGTTTCAGTGATGCAGAAGAAAAAAGAAACAGACTCATGTTTGAAACAGAAGACAGCTGTCTTATGACATGTTCCTGGAATAATTATATTTATCCTGTGGTTTTCTTTGAGGTGTCGGGAGCCATTAAATCTGAAGCTATATACTGGAGCAATATTGTCCACATTTGTTACCTACCATTTCCTTCTATGACCTATTAAATAATTCATATGTACCAGATGCATTATTTAAGATGTTAAATACAGGCAGAATACCAAGAGAACACAGATTTCATGCACTTACACTTTAGACTCAAGCAAACCACAGGAAGACTATTCAGTAGCTGAGATCCAGCTTTCTCATCCTGGGTATGATCCAAAGCCCCACTGAAGTGAATGGAGAGACTCCCATTGACTTCAGTGGACTTACAGTCAGGCCTATTATGAGTCAATCATTGGTAGTCACACTGGGGACTATACTGACACACAGATTGTCCCAGGTTTGGGGAGCCCAAAGCCAACTTTTTTTTGTCCCACCTGTCCTGATTTGCACTGTATGCTCCTCAGCCATAGTCGAGGACCTGGGTCGTTGGCTAAAATTCCCTGCTGGTTTACAGTTGTGAAACTACATTTGTGAAGTTGCACAATTGTAATTTTGCAGTAATTTCTTGTCCATGGATCTCCTTAGTAAGTAACTATTTTTCTTAAACCTCTGTATTTTTTTGAGGTTTAACAATCTGAAGTACATATTTCTTGGTTGCAGTAGCTGAGGATTTTGAATCTTATTCTACCTTGTCTTTTCTCTTTCATATGATATTTTGCACAGACTCATATGTAATTAAGGATGTAAGTCGTTATACTAACCACAAATCTTCTAGGGAGGATTTCCCCAAAAGTGCTCAGCGTAGACCTAACACTGGCCCCACTGCGATCAATTGTAAAATTCCCATTGCCTACGATGGGAGCAGAGGTAGGCCAATGCCTTTTTAAAATCCCACCCTAAATCAACACTTCAAAGTCAGGCGACCTACCGCTAAAATATTGCTTCCCTTTGGTTGACATGTTTAATATTTTTAATTTTAGTATTAAGAGAACAATGCCAGAAGTCCTACTTGTATTTCAGCTTGTTGAATAGCTTCAGTAAAAAAGATCAGAGAAGAGGTATTCCAACAGTCTTTTGCTGAAAGGGGTACAGGTTACAAGGGTGTACTAGCAGATTTCAGACTTCAAATGATTAATTAACAAATGCCAGAATTGTCAGTCCTACAATTAGTGTGACATGTGAAACTTACATAAGTGTTTTCTTTCTTCCCAATCCTGTTTTACTTTATACTTGGGTTTTGAGTGGGACACTTGTTGGATTTCATTCTGATATAATCTAATATGTAATTGTTTGTTAATTATCCATAGGTACCTTATAAGGTGCAGCAGAACAGAGTATCACCTCGAAGACCTACTGATTATCCAGTCAACCCAAGGAAAATCAGAAATGTGACACTTGTATAGGAATTACTGCTCTTTGAGGTTCCTGTATCACTGAAATTTATACCTTTGGATGACTTCCTGCAACATAGAAAGGTCATCATAATTTCACTTATATTTGAAAACAGAAACATAGATTTATTTATTTTTCATATAATGAACAATTTTTACCAAGAGACACTAACAATCTTGACTTTAACATACACATTTTCAATAAAATTCTGTATACAAATCATGGCTCTGATCCTGTAGTAGGATCCAGGCAGGTGCACCCTGTAGAGCTCCACTGACTCCCAGGGGATTTCCCAAAGGCAAGGGGCCATTCAGTGGAGTCCCATGGAAATCAGTAAGGCTCCAAGTGGGCACAAAGGTTTGCTCACCTCGATCCAACTGAAAGACCAGTGGCTATATAAGCTGGAGATTTATTAGTCCGGAACAGCAAAATCTACTGCTGGTTAGTGTAATGTCGCTTTTATATTACTTAATTTATACTTTCCAATCCTCTCAAGCTCCATCATCAACAAAACTTTTCCATTTCTTATTTCCTAATATGAGCTAAGATTTTCAATAGGGCTGGTTGAGGATTTTCAATCAAAACTGATTTATACTAAAAATTAGGTTGTCGGCTAAAATTTTTTTGCAAAATGGGACTGTTTTCTAAAGAAAAATTCAACTCTTTGTCAAAAAAGCAAACACATAAAAGCATGAAAAAATCTGTTTTTGATTGAAAAACCAGAATATGTCAGCTGAAAAATGAAAAATGTTGATTCAGAATTCATGTGGCAATGCCTCATGAGAGCTGAAGTTTGGATATGTTATTTCTCTGAGTTCTATGCTGAGTTCTCCAGCCAGACATCTCTCTTGGCTTACTCTGGCCAGATTCTCTCATGATGCATCACAGTGGCTCATCAAGATGGGAGACTGTGGTGCATCATGGGTGATGTAGTCTGACATCAGAGCTTGGCCTATAGAGGAGAATGGGGGCATGATGCACCTGAACTACACCTCACATGAGGCACTGAAATGTCATTACCAAGTAGAAAGTTTTGGTTTTCAGCCAAAAACTATGGGCTGAAACTTTTTCAATTTTCAGCGGAAACTTTTCAGTTTATGATTTTTCACCAAAAAGTTAAAATTTTCCATGGAAAAAAACATTTTCTAACCAGCTCTAGCTGCCATATACTCATAACTTTCTAAGTTATCCTGTAATTTATATATTGATATTACATAAAGACCAGTTCTTTTGACTGTTGGAAAGAAATGATGACACCACAGTTATCTCTACAATGATATTCTATGCAACAAAGAGAATAAATCCAGATCCTGAATTGTGGGAAAATTTTGTTTTGCACTGAGTATTTTCGATTTCATTACATTGTGACTACTGAATCCAGATTCTGCATTATTAGTAACATTTTACTATCAGTCAGATCAAATGCTGAGGCCAATTCATATTTTGACACATCCAGTTAGAGCTGGTTGAAAAATTTCAAACAGTACAGAAAATGCTGATTTGATGAAAAATTATCAGACATTTTGTTTTGATAAGGTAGAAGAACCTCATTTCAACTGTAATGTTTAGATTTTTATATTACCTTAATATAATATATAAAACACTCAAAAAAGCACTTTGATATGGTCATTTTGATATTTCTGAAACAATAATGTTCAGAATTTTCAGCTCACAGGAAATTTTGATTTTTTGTTCCAGTGAAAGGAAATTTTGAAACGTCAGAAGTTCCCGTGGAATAGAAATTATGACATTAGACCAGTTCAGGTTCTCCACTAGAAAATGTAGATATGACAGAACAGAAATATTTCATGGGAAAACAGCTGTATGGTAGACAGTTTCAATGGCAATTATCAAAATGTTTCATTTCAATAAGGTCAAAATGTTTCATCTTTATCATTTTGAATATTATATTATTATGTAACATAAAAGCTGAAAAGAAACATTTTGAGGTTGAAATAAAATATTTTTGGAATGTTTTAATTTTCTACCAAATTCCAAGATTTTGACTTTTCAACTCCAATCTGGGACAAAACCAAATTTCCAGATCTCATGCAGGATGGAAATTACACTTTTTGGTCAACTGTAGTTCAAGTCTGTGTTGGTCCCAATACATAAGAAAGAAGGCATCCATGAATGCAGAAACTATCATGGTATAAAGTTACTGTCTCATCTATAAAGATACTGGAATACATAGAATCATAGAATATCAGGGTTGGAAGAGACCTCAGGAGGTCATCTAGTCCAATCCCCTGCTCAAAGCAAGACCAATCCCCAACTAAATCATCCCAACCAGGGCTTTGTCAAGCCTGACCTTAAAAACTTCTAAGGAAGGAGATTCCACCACCTCCCTAGGTAACGCATTCCAGTGCTTCACCACCCTCCTAGTGAAAAAGTTTTTCTTAATATCCAACCTAAACCTCCCCCATTGCAACTTGAGACCATTACTCCTTGTTCTGTCATCTGCTACCACTGAGAACAGTTTAGATCCATCCTCTTTGGAACCCCCTTTCAGTAGTTGAAAGTAGCTATCAAATTCCCCCCTCATTCTTCTCTTCTGCAGACTAAATAATCCCAGTTCCCTCAGCCTCTTCTCATAAGTCATGTGCTCCAGCCCCTAATCATTTTTGTTGCCCTCTGCTGGACGTTTTCCAATTTTTCCACATCCTTCTTCTAGTGTGGGGCCCAAAACTGGACACAGTACTCCAGATGAGGCCTCACCAATGCCAAATGGAGGGGAATTATCTTGGATTCTAGGATTAGGAGAATGGTGGAACCCCTTCTTGAACAAGAACAGTTCAGCTTTAGGAAAGGACGAGGAACCACAGATGCCACGTTTTTAATTTGGCAAGTGATAGAGAAATGGTTAGAGTACCACAAGGATAAAAGTTTGTGAGCATTTATAGACCTAGAAAAGGCATATGATAAAGCTGACCGAAGGAGGCTCACACCAGTGCTGAGGCAATCTGGAGTGAGGATTTAATAACTATGGTGAATGCCCTGTATTGATCACTTAAAACAGTGATCCAAACATGCTTTGGAATAACAAGCCCCTTTGAAGTAAAAGTCGGACTGCATCAGGGGTTGGCCCCCAATCCACTTCTGTTTATCATATTGATAGACCAAATCAGCAGGAAGATCCCAATGGAAACAAAGTGAGAAGCTGCTATATGCAGATGACATAGCAGTAAGGGCATCCTCAAAAGAAGATGTAGAAGAAATAATAAATCAGTGGTATGACCAGCTAAACAGCCCTGGGATGAAAATGAACATGACTTAGATTGAGGTCATGTGGGTCAGTAGAGGCACCACAGGGAAACTGGATATAGAGATTAATGGAGTACGACTAAACCAGACTGATCAGTTCAAGTACCTTGGTGGCTGGGTTACAGAAGACGGAGACCTTGAGCATGAGATACAGTCCAGACTGGGGAGTGCTGGAAGAGTGCGAAATAATATCTCAGGTGTTGTGTATGGGAAGCACGTGCTACTGAGACTGAAATCCCAACTATGATGTGTCCCGCCATGCTATATGGTACAGAAGCACGGAGAATAAAGAGACAGCAGCTGCAACACCTAGAGGTGAGATGTCTTCACTCAGTAAAGAGAGTTACACAAAGAGAAAGTCGAAGTCCATGATGTGGCTGACAAAATCCAGGAAGTGCGACTTCACTAGTTTACACACACACAAAGGATGAATGAAGAAGACCTGGTGAAGCTAGCATGGCAGGAGAGGGTGGTAGGAAAGAGACTCAGAGAAAAGTTGAAGAAGAGATGGATAGACTGCATCAAAGAAGATGGTAAGCGGGTGGACCTTAGTGCTGCCTCAGGCAGACAAAGATTGTGGATATTTGCAGGATGACTCAACCCCAGATGATGGGACAAAGGGAAGGAGAAGGTCATCTCTAGTACTATTGTTTAAAAATGCTTTTAATTCAGTTACAGTTTTTTAAAAACCCTACTACTGTGACCTACAGTGTGGGCAGCAGGGAATGGCTGAAGTATAAATGCTTTTTATATCATAATGTAAGGACTTTCAAACTGTATTTTTACCTTTTTTCCTACTAATCTGTAATCTACTGTATTAACCAAAGAGTGCACTGCTATGCACAATAGTGAAAAACGTGGATTCTATCGTTCTACTACAAGATATAAGACTAAGAATATTTTCACAATTATATGGTGCCTTTCCTCCAAGGAAGTTCAAGTTTTTACTTGATGTATGGTGCATGGTATTTTGGGGAAGTTCTGTGGCCTGGGCCATAGAGGCGGTCAGACTAGATCAGTGGTTCTAGTCTAGTCTAATCCCTTGGCCCGCGCTGCTTTCTGCAGCCTCCATTGGCCTGGAGCGGCGAACTGCGGCCACTGGGAGCTGCAATCGGCCGAACCTGTGGATGCGGCAGGTAAACAAACCAGTTCGGCCCACCAGGGGCTTTCCCTGAACAAGCGGTGGACCAGAGTTGAGAACCACTGGACTAGATGATTGCAAGGGTCCCTTCTGACCTTAGAATCTATTAATCTATATAGGACCAACTGGTCTGTTGTGTTGTTTCTTCTGGACACATCAGAGAGGAGGTGCTGTTAGACAGCCAATTATGGCTCCCTCATTCTCTGCCTGGCTCTTATCATGGGTGCGGATTAACTCAGCCTGAGGCGCTGTTCTAAACTCCAGCATCTGACTATGGGAACCCTATGGACCATTTGCCAGGAGGGGACAGAGCACAGTGTGCTCCAATCACTCCCCTCGCCACCTCAACATGCCTACCCTGCACTGAGGTCTGCAGAGAGAGGGGAACAAGAATCAGCCCATGTCTGCCAAGGGCTTCCCCAGCCCCAGAGTTACAAGAGCCTCTCCATTTGTAGCAAATGAGTGATACAAAGGAACCCTTTCATTGATTTCACTGAGTGCCAGCCCTAAAAACACAGCCATCCCCAGCATCAGATTCTTCAGTTTTCTTTTCATTCTATAATAGAAGACAGGGCACAGCGATATACATTATGCCTACATAACATGATGTTTACATGGTATTGTAAATGTCACAAACTAAAAAAATGGACTTTTTCAGAACTGTGTAGTGCAATCACAAAATGTGCACTGACAGACTGCATCTGTTTTCTTCGTTGTCAGAAACTATAGTTCAATCATTCAGCTATGGTAGGTTCTTACATAGCATTAGTATAAGGTTCATTTATGCCAACAATATCCTTTAAAAGTATTAACTGGTAAAATGAAAATTCTCAGGGACATTGGGTGGAGCTGCCAACTTGGTGGTAATTAAAAACTGGACACTCCAGCAGGAGTGCTGGAACCTCCCTTGCCCTGCCCCTTCCCTCCCGAGGCCCTGCCTCTTTCCCCAAGGCTCCCCCCATCCACTCCTCTTCTCTTCTCCCCGCATTGCTTGCTGCTTTTCCCTTCCCACCCCTCCACCTGGGTTAGGAGGGACTCGCCTGCTTTGCTGGGGCTGGGAGCTGCAGCTGCCCGACGCAGGTAGAAGACAGCTCGGCTGAGTAGGGGCTGGTGCGGGTGATGACTCAGCGCCTCCCTATCTCCCCCGCCCACAGTAACCGGACTTTGGGTGTTCGGTCAGTAGAGCTGACTGGACACTGTCAAGTCCCTTTTTTGACCAGACTTTCCGGTAAAAAAATGGGCATCTGGCCACTCTAACACTGGTAGATTTTCTTACCAAATGTATTTTTCTCAGACATCTCACATAAACTGAGTGTGATCCTTAACTTTTACTCTTTTAGGTTCTCTTGCAAGTTGTATACTATCCAGTGAGGATTTTTATCCCTCAAAAAGTATAAAACATGTAGCATTTGAGGCACTTTATGGAGACACAGATCTCTTATACATGTAGAAGTTGATTTTATGATTAAGACTTCAGTGATGTTTTCTTATTCTGCCCATATCTATTTATTATGTTGTTCACAAACACTACTACTGCCTGATATAGTAAAACCACTCCATATTCCATTATTAAGTGTTCTGATTTGAATTCGTTACGCATAGGCCTGGAAAGAAGTACTTCATGGACATACAGTATTTCATTCCAGAGTAAGGTTTCTTAAAGTTGTCTCCTTCAGTTTTGTATTTCACAGGGTACTAGGAATAAGCTACCTGAACCCATCTAGTCCTAGCTATTTAAAAATAGCCTTGACTTCATGCAGCGGTTTCTCTTTACAACAAGAAAGCATCTCACATTTGAGTGGGCTGGGTAGAAGTAACAGATGCAAACACTCAGCATTACCCACAAAAAGTATTCACCTTATTGACTAAATATTTATTCCCCCGCTAATAAGATGGCATAGAGCTTTCAGTTATACTTAGTTTCAAACATTTATGAAATGGGGTGTATGGTACTTGATGATCAAATGCATAGTTTAAACAGAATTCAGCTAGTGAAGGTCTTTATACACATACACCTTGTCTTTGTAAGAGTAACACCTGATGAAGAGCTTTAGGGTATTGAGGCTCCAGTTGAATTGTTGCAGGAGAGTTGAAAGGGTGAGATAGTGCTTTACCACAGCACTTAGTTGCCAAGGCAACAAATGTTTGAGTGAAAGCCATAGGAAAAATATCACCTGAACATAATGTACTGAGCAACCTCAGTAATTTAAACATAACACAGAGTTCACTGAATACATTTTGCCTTTAGAAGCCTTAAAAGTGTATGACACTCCATGTTGCATTATGTAAACTCAATGTGAGAAGAATTTATAATCTCATACTCATTTCAGGACATAGCAAAGGGCCAGATCCTGCTCCTTTTGTTCACACAAACCTTTATTGACTTCAGTGGAAGTTTAGAGTGAATAAGAGCAGCAGGATGTAGCTCAAAGGCTGGTATAGATCTAGTCACATCAGGTAGACTTTCAAAATCAGGCACATGCATAAGAGCCATTTGTACCTTTGAAAATCTACCACACTGAGTAAAACTGTTCATACTGAAAAATAATTTAAATAGATATAAGCTAGTTGAATTTACAGATATTACAAGATTGGGCCAAAATAGACAGCACCCAAGATTGACACTTTTCAATGCTTTCAAACATATAAAGATTATTTACATTTATTACTCACAACCATACCACAGGAAGTGGAGGTTATGGAAGGGAGGGTGGAGGAAGAAATAAGTAACTGAAATACAAAATTTCATTGCATTTAATTCAGACATGGTAGATTCAGCTGGCGGTTGTGGCGATTCCACAGAATGATTTTTGTTTCATGAACACGAACCCAGATTTTGGACTTGATTCAAATCTCATTAACGTCAATGAATTTATTTCAATTTACTTCAGTGGACTTTGGATCCGGCTCTTTCTGAGTAACTATTAGACGCATATAACTGGCATTTGCTTCATAAAACAGCGACTGGTGAATGGGTGCATAGAATTTTCAAGCCCCAAGGAAGATAATGAAAAGGTCAGTTTTTGTAACAGGTTTAAAGCTTGCTTTTTGGAAATCCCATAAACTAATGATCTGGATCCATCTTTTAAAGTTTCACCCGCGGTTGCATATATCTACAAAGAGCTCCTATCAGCATACGGAAATTGAATTCATTTAGGCTTTTTCATGCTATTTAAGCACAGCCCCAAACTGATGTGGTGTGGAGCTGCATAACCTTTGTGCAATTCTGCCTCAAGAATTCCTCCTGGAGTTCTCCAGAACACAGTGGTAGCACAGGCCTGATGCTATACCTTTCCGGGTTGCAACAAGCCTCCTCTGCTGCACTGGGCCAGCTCTTTTGGGTCAATGCAGAAGGGGTAGAAGAATCATGGCCCACTAGTTCCCAGCTTAATATAGTGTGTTTCCTAGGGATGCTTGCAGGAAGCAGTCTCTGTGCTCCAGGAAGGACAGGGACTGCAATTATGTCCTTCTGCTGATCAGGCTCCTTGAGCCTTTCTCGGAACTATGCATCCATAAGCATGTGGGTCCTTATAAAAATGCCCTTTTCTAGAGCAGTGTTCCCTTATCCCTTGTTTGTTGATGCTTCTCCTCTTTCCCTCCAGCCTTGGTCTATTGTCCCTTCTCAGTATGTTATCTGTCAGAGTGTAAGCACTCGGAGCAGGCATCTGGTCTTCCTACAGGGCTGCAAAGTGCTGCACACAGCAATGTGGGGCTACAGAAATAATAAGCATGAGTAATTAAATCTATATCACTTGACCCTCATTGACCAGACTGCTGACAAGTTTTGCCCTGCTTTGCAGAGGCTGTTCATTTATCACAATGAGCTCAGTCAGAAATAATTAATGAAGAACTTCTAATGGGTATCGATAGGTTGTCCACCAGACTCAGTTTTTTCCCACCCTCTTATACCACTACACGCAGCAACTTCATAATTAATAAACCTTAGACTCCTTAAATTCATCAGTTGATCCCTTTCCACGGGGTGAAGGAAGATAGAATTAACAGCAGATGCATTCTGAGGTCGTTAGGGGTGCCCTAGAACAGAAACTGTAAGAAGATCCCAGGAGCTACAATTACCAATGTTACACTACTGAGATATGCACCTGCTTGTATTTGTTAATTTTACAACTGGATAAGAATTGCTTAACAGGCACCAAGCATACTTTTCCACTCTTGTTTTACACAATGAACGGTTTTTATAATGGAGCTAGAATAACTGCATCTGAAAGGTAATACATTTAGACTTCCATCCTCTTTATAGTTCTCTTGCTCTGCAGCACTCTTCTCACATGCTGGTGGGTCACTGCCAGTGATAATCCAAAGCAATGACTAAAGTGGCTATAATTATAGCAATTTATATGAAAGGTCCTAAAGTGCACTTACTATATTTCCCCCTTCTATGCATATATGGTTCATAGATTCATAGATATTTAGGCCAGAAGGGACCATTATGATCATCTAGTCTGACCTCCTGCACAATGCAGGCCACAGAATTTCACCCACCACTCCTAAAAAAGACCTCACATCTATATCTGTGCTATTGAAGTCCTCAAATTGTAGTTTGAAGACCTCAAGGAGCAGAGAACCTCCAGCAAGTGACCCCCCCATCTACAGAGGAAGGAAAAACCTCCAGGGCCTCCAATCTGCCCTGGAGGAAAATTCCTTCCCACCCCAAATATGGCGATCAGCTAAACCCTGAGCATATGGGCAAGATTCATAGCCAGATACTACAGAAAATTCTTCCCGGGTAACTTGGATCTTACCCCATCTAAAAACCCATCACAGGCCATTGGGCCTATTTACCATGAATATTTAATTACCAAAACCATGTTATCCCATCATACCATCTCCTCCATAAACTTATCGAGTTTAATCTTAAAGCAGATAGATCTTTGCCCCCACTACGCCCTCGGAAGGCTATTCCAAAACTTCACTCCTCTGATGGTTAGAAACCTTCGTCTAATTTCTAATCTAAATTTCCTAGTGGCCAGTTTATATCCATTTGTTCTTGTCCACATGGTACTGAGTTTAAATAATTCCTCTCCCTCTCTGGTATTTATCCCTCTGATATATTTATAGAGAGCAATCATATCTCCCCTCAACCTTCTTTTAGTTAGGCTAAACAAGCCAAGCTCCCTGAGTCTCCTTTCATAAGACAAGTTTTCCATCCTCGATCATCCTAGTAGCCCTTCTCTGTACCTTTCCAGTTTGAATTCATCCTTCTTAAACATGGGAGACCAGAACTGCACAAGTATTCCAGGTGAGGCTCACCGTCCTTATATATGGTACTAAAACCTCCTTATCCCTACTGAAATACCTCTCCTGATGCATCCCAAGATGACATTAGCTTTTTTCAAGCCATATCAATTGGCAGCTCATAGTCATCCTATATCAACCAATACCCAAGGTCCTTTCTCCTCCGTACTTCTAGTTGATCTCCCTAGCTTATAACTAAAATTTTTTATTAATCCCTAAATGATGACCTTACACTTCTCACTATTAAATTTCATCCTATTCCTATTACTCCAGTTTACAAGGTCATCCAGATCCTCCTGTAGGGTACCCTTCCTTCCTAAATTAGCAATACCTCCAGCTTTGTATCATCTGCAAACTTTATTAGCACATTCCCACTTTTTGTGCCCAGGTCAGTAATAAAAAGATTAAATAAGATTGGTCCCAAAACTGATCCTTGAGGAACTCCACTGGTAACCTCCCTCCAACTTGACAGTTCACCTTTAGTAGGACCCTTTAGCTCCCCTTTAACCAATTCCCTATCCACCTTTATTTCTATTGTGCCATCTTATCCAATTTAACTAATAATTCCCCATGTGCACAGTATCAAACGCCTTACTAAAATCTAAGTAAATTAGATCCACTGTTTCTTTATCTAAAAAATCTGTTACTTCTCAAAGAAGGAGATCAGGTTGGTGGACGATCTACCTTTGTAAAACCATGTTGTATTTTCCCATTTACCATTGACTTCAATGTCCTTAACTACCTTCTCCTTCAAAATTTTTCCAAGACCTTGCATACTACAGATGTCAAACTAACAGGCCTATAATTACTTGATCACTTTTTCCTTTCTTAAAAATAGGAACTATGTTAGCAATTCTCCAATCATACGGTACAACCCCTGAGTTTACAGATTCATTAAAAATTCTTGCTAATGGGCTTGCAATTTCTTGGCAATTCTTTTAATATTCTTGGATGAAGATTATCTGGGCCCCCCGATTTAGTCCCATTAAGCTGTTTGAGTTTCGCTTCTACCTCAGATATGGTGATGTCTACCTCCATATCCTCATTCCCATTTATCATGCTACCATTATCCCTAAGATCCTCTTTAGTCTTATTAAAGACTGAGGCAAAGTATTTGTTTAGATATTGGGCCATGCCTAGATTATCCTTGACCTCCACTCCATCCTCAGTTTTTAGCGGTCCCACTTCTTTTCTTTTTTCTTCCTATTTATATGACTATGACCTTTTACTATTGGTTTTATTCCCTTTGCA